GTTGCAGTGAGCCAAGATCACGCCACTGTACTCCAGCCTGAGCAACAGAGCAAAAACTCCATCTCAAAACAAAACAAAACTATGGTGAGTGAAGGATACCAAATGCAAAAGAATACGTATGATTCTATTTACATGAAATTCCCAGAAAAGGCAAATCTAGAGAAATAGCAGTTGCCTGGTGGGGAGCAGAGACTGACTACAAACAAAGAACTTTCTTAAGGGCCAGATGTGGTGGCTCACATCTGTAACCCCAGCACTTTGGGAGGCAACGGTGAGAAGATCGCTTGAGCCCAGGAATGTGAGGCTGAGAAAGAAAAAAAAAAAGAAAAGAAAGGAAAAGAAAAAAGAAAAGAATGAGGAAAGGAAGGGGGGAAGGGAGGGGAGGGAGGGGAGGGGGAGGGAAGGGAAGGGAAGGGAAGGAAGAACAAACTTTTTGAGAGAAGGAAGTGTTATAAAATTGGATTTTAAGCCATGCGTGGTGGTGCTCATCTGTAGTGCCAGCTACGTGGAGGCTGAGGAAGGAGAATCCCTTGAGCCTAGGTCAAGCCTGCAGTGAGCTATAACGATGCCACTGCACTCTAGCCTGGATGACAGTCTTACTCTGTCTCCAAGAAGAAGAATTTAGTGATGCTTGCATAACTCTATATATTTACTAAATATCACTGAATTGAATACTTGTAATGTATGAATATTATAGTATGTCAACTATACCTCAGTTTCAAAACAGTAACTACAACCAATACCCCACAATATCTGGAGGATCCCTAACTGCAGATTCTTATATATAGTGAAAATCTTTTGGGATACTTTCTGGTAGAACTGTGGTTTTGTGGCAAAGACCTGTGAAAGGGATTTCTCTATTAACAGTGCTTCTTCGATGTGAGCACATGTAAGAATCATCTGGAAAACCTGTTGACAGACCAACAGCTCCCCTCCTGTGTGGATTCAGTAGGTCTGGGGTGAAGCCCATAAATGTGCATTCCTAAAAGCTCCAGGACCACTCATTAAAAACAAAGATTTCGAAGTCCCACCAGAGATCTACTGTATCACAATCTCTAAGAAAGGGGAATCTGGGAATCTATACCTCCTACAGGTATCAGGGAGAATCTTATGATTGATCTTATGGTTTAGTACCCCGTAAACTACAACACTCTCATATACCATCAACTCCAAGAATTTTTATAAGTAGTTTCAAGAGTAAAATCTGTGTGTTCCTGCGTTAAAAATGACAAATTATCTGTATTTTAAGTGGTTCTAAGTCTTTAGGGTTCTGCCTTAGACCTTTCTAAAAAAAAAAGCAATTTGCAGGAAATCAACTTATATTTATTCAAGGTATTCTAAATATGTTTCCACATAAAAGAAAAAAAGTTTTCCTCCTGCTGTAGGCCTTTTAGTACAAAATAAAAAGTTTTCCAAAAAAATAAAAAATAATAAATAAAATACAAAGTTTCTCCATTAAGAATGTTTAGGCTACTTTTCAAGTTTACTCTAATTTTAAATCTGTTCATTTCAAGACCATGTTCTTCTGAATTTCCAACAGGATTGTGTAATTGTTAGATCTATAGGAACTATTAATTCTGCACAACTCTGATAGGCACTGATAACAGGAGAGAGCCATTTTCAATGGTTCGATTCAAGGCTTTATCACATACTGGGATCTAACGCTGTGCTTAACACAGAGGTTAAACACAGAAGATATGGTTCTTACCAGGAATTCACCAATGATTATAAAAACAATAGTACTCAACATCAGTGTATACTGGAGCAGATGGGGAATTTTTACAGAAGTAGGACTGTGTCCTAAAAAAAAAAAAAAAAACAGCACTTAAATTATTTTCAATTTTTCTTATCAGTATGGCTCAAAGGAGTGGGAGGACTCACAGTCTTGCACATTGGAATGCCATGTTGCATGAGACAGAAAGAGCCAGACTGCAGACCTCAGTGGGATCGTGCTTAGAAGAACACACACACAGGACTTCCTGGAGAACATCTCACTGTTTCTTTAGGGATTCTTAATTGGCCGAGAGTGGGGCTCAAGCTTTCCAAGGAAAGAGTTCCGTGGTAAATTATGTTTCTAAAGATAGATGCAACAAAAGTGTCCATCTCACAGCTCTTCTGCAATGTCCTCTCTCCTGCCCTTCCCCTTGCCACAGTGCCAAACCAAATTCTTGTGGAGAATGCCATGTAACTTCCAAGGCTATGTCCCAGGAGAATTATAGCTTCTGCCTTTGCTGCCTGGTATGCTCACTTTTGGAATTTGGCTGCCAAACAACAAAACCCAAGCTAGTCACAACTAGAGAGACAGCCACAGGGAGAGAGAGAAGTCTTGGCCTCCTAGTCATGCGCACCAACTTGCCAGATGTGTGAATGAAGCCTTCTTAGCCATTCTAGTCACTATTTGACTACAACGTCAAGAGACACCCCAGCTGTTAGTCACATAGCAAAGAACCATCCAGCAGAGCCCTGCCTGAATTCCCAAGTCATAGAATCACAATCAAATATAAAACAGATGTTTTAAGCCAGTAAGTTTTGAGGTAGGTTTTGTTCCCTAACAACAGACAACAAAACTAGGCTTCAAGTCTGCTCTGGAACATTCTTCTAGGTAAATGATATGCAGTTCACAGTCAACATATATGGACTCAGTCTCTACACCTCAGGAGTGTAGAGATTTTGAAATCTTCTACCAGAAGGAAGAAAATAAGTGTTCACAAGCAAGATTCAATCCACTTCCTTAACAAAGACTTTTCCACATGTGTCAGCAAAAGGTTTTGTTGCTTCCCAAATTTTGTATTAGGAAAGCAGGTTATATGAGTGCTTTAACTCCTTTCTAAAGGCCATGCTAACTAAAATCAGTGGTTATCAACATGTTTGCAGCTCAGTACTCTCTTTCCCCTAAGCACATTGTATTCATAGATTTGGAGATCCAGAAACCATTTTTTACAATTTTAAAGGAAATGGAAGAAAAGGTGAACTGAAGAGAAGGTCAAGGGTGGAGGGAAATCTACCCACAAGCAAGAGCAGGCCAGGAATTGTGGCCCATGCCTATAATCTCAGCTCTTTGGGTTGCCGAGGGTGGTGGATCCCCTGAAGTCAGGAGTTCAGGACCAGCCTGGTCAACGTTATGAAACCCTGTCTATACTAAAAATAAAAAAATTAACCAGGCATGGTGGTTCATACTTGTAATCCCAGCTACTTGGGAGGCTGAAGTTCAGAATCACTTGAACCCGGAAGGCAGAGGCCAGATCGCACCACTGTCCTCCAGCCTGGGCAACAGAGGTAAACTGTCTCAAAAACAAACTAACAGAAGAGTTAAGACCAAATGATATTAAAACTGAGTATTTCCAGGCTGCCTTGTTTAACAAAGCAAATGGGACACAGGACAGGCATTGCACACCTATCTACTGATGTAGTTCCAAACTTAAGAGTTTGCTGAAACTCTTTTTAGGAATTTTAGGAACAAAAGACCCTAAAGATACATATCTCAACAGTATCATCCATTCTGCTCTTCCCTCTACACACCAAAACTTCCTATCAAACTCAATCAAATCCAAAATGCCACCCATCATGAAAGCTTCAAAAGACAATACTGGAATCAACAGATTCAAATTCTGGCTCTCTCAATTCCCGTCTGTAAGATGGAAATAATTTCTTTCCACCTCTTGGGATTGTGAGAAAAAAAAACATAACAGCATGTGTAAAGTACTAGCCCGGTGCCTGACAAAGAACAGGCACATAAGAACTGTCAAGTTCATGTTCATCTTCTCTCTCCTCTCCCAAATCAATGCAACTGGACCTAAAAAAAGTGCTGCATAGTCCAAGCATCTTATTGAATATCCTCTAAGCAAACAGAATAAATCAATGGAATCACACATGGCTCAGTTCAGAATAGCCAAGGGAATCAAACATATGTATATACACATACACAGAAACATACTGTCCATGTGTAATCTGGACAAATCTTTACCCAATTATCATACAGGTATTAGTATCCCTTTCAAACATTTAAAATTTGAACAGCTGAGAAAGAAAATGCATGAAGTTGTTTCTACATTCAGACAGGTTGTTCAAAGTTCTCTGGATGAAAGAGCAGATAGATAACTTAGCTGCCAAAGAACAGGCCCAGCTTGTACAGAGATGGATCCTTAAAAGGAGAACTGCAGAGATGAGCTCTGAGCTCAAGGCAGCTAAGCAAGACTGAATGATCTCAACTCCTAACTGAGAGCTGGCCAGTGAACACTTTAATGATTGGAATTAACAGATCCTTGAGTCTATCCACCACTTGGGAAAGAGAAGCTTAGTTCTCCTAGGATTAATAAGGAGACTGAAGACTCCCAATCTGATCCTTCTCCCAAGGTAGTAAGCGGAATCTGCCAATCTAACTAGCATTAACCTGATAACAGGCCTAAAAAAATAGCCTACTAATTATTGCCCAACTTTCACCTGTTTCTGTACACTAAAATTTCCCTATTTCTCCCCTTGAACCACAGAACCAGAAAAATGAGACTATATGTACTTTTCAAGTGTCAGCTTCACATGGCTCAAGATCTTAAGAAGTCTGCTATATGAACTGTGAATTCTAGATATTATTATTTAGGGGCTACTCATTCACCCTCCTCTCAGGCACAGTGGTAGAATTTGAGGCTACAGTAACGGACTTAAGAGATCTTCTGCTACGTGTGTACTTCTGAACCCATTTAAAACCAAATTCACCTGGGTAAATAATAAAAGACTTTTTCTTAATTTTAAATTTCTTTAAAAGATAATTAACTGTTTAAAGCAAAAACAAAAACCAAGCCCCCTGCCAAAAGAAACCATTTATTGTGAGGTTAAATGTAAGAATACTGTTGCAAAGTTCTTACACTATATGTGAAGTGGTATAATACTAACTGAAAGCACACTGTGGTAAGTTTATTTTAAGCCAGAGCAACCACTTTTTTTAAAGCCAGAAGTAAAGCTAATAAACCTGTAAATTGAGATAAAATGGATTACAAACTTTTTTTGTGCTCGCTTTGGCAGCACATACACTAAAAAAAATTGGAATGTATAGACTGGCATAGCCCCTGCAGAAGGATGACATGCAAATTCATGAAGCATTCAATATTTAGAAAAATAAATTTAATTAAAAAATAAAGACTTTTTTGCTTTTTAGATAAAGTCTCGCTCTGTCACCCAGGTTGGAGCACAGTGGAGCAATCTTAGCTCACTGCAACCTCCACCTCCCTGGATCAAGCAATTCTCCTGCTTCAGCCTCCCGAGTGGCTGGGATTACAGGCATGCACCACCACGCCCAGCTAATTTTTGTATTTTTAGTAGAGACAGTGTTTTGCCATGTTGGCCAGGATGGTCTCTAACTCCTGACCTCAAGTGATCCACTATCTCAGCCTCCCAAAGTGGTGGGATTACAGGCATGAGCCACCGCACCCAGCCAAAAAATAAAATATTTTCTTAATCCAAATGAAGAAGAGGGGGGGAAGAGGAACAGAAGAAAACAAATAAGCAAGATAATTAATTTAAATTCAATTATATTGATGACTGCATTAAATACAAACATTCCAGTTTAGGGGCAAAGATTCTCAGTCTGGATTAAAAGCAACATCAAGCCTGGCATGTTGGCTTATGCCTGTTATCTTAGCATTTTGGGAGGCTGAGGTAGGAAGATCACTTAAGCCCAGGAGTTGGAGACCAGCCTGGGCAACACAGGGAGAGCTCATCTCTACAAAAAATAAAGATTAGCTCGGTATGGTGGCACATCCCTGTGATTCCAGCTACCCAGGAGATAGAGGTGGGAGAATCACGTGAGCCCAGGAGGTCAAGGCTGCTGCGGTTAAACTGAGATTGTTAAAGGAGGTAGCTAGTCTGACATGAGAGGGCAAAAGAGGTCCCCTCACTCCCCCAGCCAGGAATATCAGGTAACCATCAGGTAATGGTTAGGCAGTTGTTAAGCTGTGTTGCTAAAATAATAATTGGTTGCAGCTGGTGCCAGGGAAAGGCAGTCTCCCAGCAGACAGAAAAATCTGAATCTGGTGATCAGCAACTTCCTAATACTATCTCAGGAGTTGGGTGAGTGAGCTCGAGCATGAGCACTAAGGGGCAAAATGGCAGAGTTTAACTAGAATGAGACCTTCCTCTAGGAACACTCAGCTGGTCAGGGAATGCTTCAAGTGGGCATGTGCACAATTTCAGGAAGCACATTGCACATGCCGCCCCTCCCAAGTGTTGGCAGGCCACTGAGCATGAGGACAGCTAACCCCAAGAGGAGAATCAAGGGAGAAGTAACACAACACCCCGGAAGCATGCCAACATATAAAACCCCAAGTCAAAGGGTCAAACCACGTATCTGATCTCTTACGTTGCCCACTTGGCCCTCTTCCAAGTGTACTTCCTTTCTTTCCTGCTTTAAAGCTCTTTTTATAAACTTTTACCCTTATTCTAAAATTTGCCTGAGTCTCTCCTTCTGCCTTATGCTCCTCAGCTGAATTCTTTCTTTTGAGGAGCCAAGAATTGAGGCTGCTGCAGAGTCCTTCGAATTTGCCACTGGTAACAAGATGACACCACTACAAGGTCATACCACTGCACGATCACTGCATTTGGGTGACAGAGTAAGATGTCTCAAAAAAGAGAAAAATTAAATCATATACTTTCTATAGAAAAACATTTTAAAGCCCAGGCAGTGGCTCAGGCCTGTAATTCTAGCACTTTGGGAGGCTAAGGCAGGAGGATCACTTGAGCCCAGGAGCTGGAGACCAGCCTGGGCAACATGGCAAAACCCTGTCACTACAAAAAAAAAATTAGCTGCATGCACACCTGTGGTCCCAGCTACTTGGGAGGCTGAGGCAGGAGGATCGCTTGAGCCCAGGAGGCAGAGGTTGCAGTGAGCTGAGATCACTCCAGCCTGGGCGACAGAGTGAGACTCCACCTCAAAAAAACCAAATACAAGCAAACAAAAATCCCCAAAACAACACATACACACACACACGGAAAATCAAAAGAAAAACACTTTCAATGGAAAGCCACAGATAGGTTGATAAGTTAAAAAGGTAAGGCCGGGCGCGGTGGCTCACGCCTGTAATCCCAGCACTTTGGGAGGTCGAGGCGGGTGGATCACGAGGTCAAGAGATGGAGACCATCCTGGTCAACATGGTGAAACCCCGTCTCTACTAAAAATACAAAAATTCAGCTGGGCATGGTGGCGCGTGCCTG